AACATCCCCATTATTTCTGGATCGGTTGGACAGCCATCTGAGTCGATCAGTTTTTGTTCGCCCCATCCCAGACCATCTGTGTAATAGAAAATAAATTAATACTTAAATAAATTAAATCTATTGTTGTAAAGAAAAATAGTCAAGAAAATGTCAGTAGTATAAGAACACTTCGGCCATTACAATTTTCTCCACAGTGTTGGAATTATAAGCGTGAGATAGTATAGCGAATATTATTGCTTCTTTGCAGTTTACAGTTGGGGTTAGAACATTTAGCGTTACAGCAGTAAAATAACTAATTCAGCACAATACACCAATACACTTTACTTTCAACACTGAACGCGCGTTTTGCTTATCATGTTAAATCATCATCAGATGATATAAAGTGACCTGAACTGAATTGAGGTTATATCAAAGGGTATTTTTTTGCAGTGAAACTTCTTTACGCGCGCTTGGAGTAAAAATTCAAGGCAGTGACACCACACGCAAGGCGACACGCGACACGACAAGAAGAGGAAAAGTGGTAAGGACAGCCTACGGTTTAGAAAAAATCATCCGATTTAATTGAAATTTGGAATGTCGATAGATTGGAATAAAGTCAACATGACCGTGTACACGTGACGTTTCGTACACTAAGAAATCCCATAATCAATGAATCAATTAAAAAATACGTAAGACACGTGTCACTGTGACAGTTAGTTTTGACGTTAGAAACTTTAAAAGTTTATGTCGTCCGATGACGACCAGATTTGTTGGGTAGGCTATGTGAGCGGACGGTGCACACGGTCCCACCCTGCAAAGCTGAATACGACGCGCGACGACGTTTCGTTTACATCTTCATCAGGTTGAAAAAAAATGTGTATCGATTTCATTGAGGACGGGCTACAGGATGACGCCCTCGACATTTCGAACCATTTTCGAACCGATGCCGCTAAATGGACAAAATCATCAGGATTTTTCTTAATTATGAGTCAATTGGGACCAAACTCAGCACGTGGATAGAGGTACCCGAATGGAGTCCTCAGACGGACAGACGCACAGTGGTCATTTTATCTGTTCTAGGTGGACATAAATGTTCTTGTTAAATTCCGACAAAGTTATTATTGCATATTAATAGTAAGTATTAGTGAATTCAAATAATGGCCAATTAAGCACAAATCTAACAGTATTACTATAAAATAATAAAAAATATATCCCCAATATACAGGGTGTTTTTTAATATTTCCATAAAATTCAGAGACGTGTTCCTTGGATGAAATGAAGCAAAAAAGTCCCTATGAACATAAATCCGGAAATGCATCGTTTCTTAGATACAGGGTGTTGAAAGTAAAAATGTCATATTTGTATATGATTGAAAAAAGGGTACGCCACTGCTTTTTTTTAGAACATAAATTATTTTCATAATCTCTGACCAGTTTCTAACAAAAACGGCCTCTTGACATTTTTCTGTCCGACGAACGGTTTTTGCGTGAGAAAATAAAATAAAATTATCTACATTCCTAAAGATGCAGAGGTCATGTAGATAGGATAGGGATATTTTATTTTTTTACGCAAAAACCTTTTGTCGAACAGAAAATTGTCGAGAGGCCGTTTTTGTTAGAAACTAGTCGGAGATTATAAATATAATTTTTGTTCCAGAAAAAGCATGTGCCAGAAAAAGCGTGTGCCGTTTTTTCGATCGAAAACAAATATGACATTTTTCACTTTCAACACCATGTATCTAAGAAACGAAGGATTTCTGGACATATGTTCATAGGAACATTTTTGCTTCATTTCGTCCAAGGAAAACATCCCTGAATTTTGTCGCAATATTAAAAAATACGTACGCTGTATACAAACAAACATACATCACTAAATGCATAAATTAAATTTATGTCCTATTTCCAACATGAAAATGTGGGTAGCTTGTAGCTTTTCAATGTCAAGAATTTTAAAAATATACACCACTAAGAACTAAATAAATCATCCTTTAGAAAAAGCTTCAAAATTATAAACTAAAACGCTACCTAGTCTCGGTTAAGAATTTGAAAATGAACAATTCGTTAAAATAAAAAGATCTATTCTCTATCACTCGTATCCCAACTGGAACAAAAACTTCCATCAGATGTACTCTCGTCCTGGTCCTTATTAATTCCTCCTTTGAATAGTGTCTAAGTAAATGTTGAATCTTCCGTTTCTTACTTTTATGTGTGAGATGTTAAAAATCTTTTTTTGGCCGACCTTGGGAAGTGCCTGTTTTGAGAACTTGAGTATTCCTGATGTTATGTATCTCAGAAAAAGAAATAGATGGTTCGAGGTACGAGCCACGTACTGTTCTTCGTTAAAAACTGATGTTTAATCCTATGACAGCTTTCCCATTTTTCACTAACTTTATACGAAAATTTTCGAATTTTCTTTACCACCGATAACTCCTCTTTCTCAGATAGATGATCTATACCAAAAACCTCAAGTAGCCAATTAAAATGTGCATATACCTTTTGGATTTTTTCGGATTCTTGGCACCAAACTTCAAAAAGTGTTCTACGGGTGACCGAACATGTCGCTGAGAACAAAGAAACATTGATAAAACTTGCAAATATATGCAAAACAAGAATATATCACAATTAATATAAAACCCTAAGTATATTTATAAAGCCAGAATCAAAGCGGAAATCCGCGGGAATCGATTTATATAGCTTTTTGAATTTGAAAGAAGAATAAAAATAAATATTTTTGCACGGGCCACAAAACAATTATCTATATTATTAAAACCTTTCAAGTTTGAATGTGTTATATTTTTAATTAATAGTACATACCTTGATCTACACTTTCCATGTTTTAAAATTTTTGAAATCTTTTGAACTAGCGAACACAAGTCAATAAAATTCACGTTATTACTGCTCCGATTTGCAAAGCAGTCCATACCTGTTTTAAATTGCTTGATACAATATTTTTTTTATCAAACATCAACTAATATAGGATTTCTGTTTGTGCATATTATCTTAGTATGAAAACTTATCTTTACAATATACATAAACAAATGTAAATTAGTACACCTAAGGAAACCGGATTTTTATCCACCTAGATTTCAAAAAATGACTATTGTGAGACGGTCATTTTAATATAAATTGTGTGAAAGTGAATCAAATTATTTATTAATTTTTAATTTATTACTTTTTCAACATTCTAAACTACACTTTTTCAAACATGTCACTCAAATCCTTCAATTTAAGAGCTGTTAGTAAGAAGGTTCACTTTAAATATAATAGCAAGCCTTGCTTCGCCAACAGCGTGCCTTGTGGTCAAGAGCCTCAAATGCACTCGATCACCAAGGTGTCCTCTGCTGTTTCAGGATTAGTAAAGCAGAGTCTTTAGCAGAGTAGCCAATAGCCAGTTAGACTTTCCTAATACAGGTTGAGCTTGCGAAATGACGATCAATGACATTTCCCATATAAATTTACATATAAAACAAATGACAGCGTAAATGACCATATTGTACTATACCTATAACAGAAAATGTTTTCGATCATACGATATTTTATTTCTGCTGATGATGTTAAAATGGTTAATGAAATGCGCGTCCAGAGTTAAAAGTAAGCAAGTGTTGGTAATGTGGTACTGTGGTGAAAACATTGTTTTATTTTACTGTTTGCAATTAAACAAAAGAAGAAAATAAAGGATTTTAGATTCTCGTTTTATTAAATTGTAACAGCAACATTTGAGCTAATTTATCTTAATATGAAACAACCAGAAATATTTATTAGTACCTTGATATTATTGTATCATATACTCGAAAGAATGGATTTAGAAATTATTCAAAAAAAAAAAACTGTGAGGTATTATAACATTAAATGGAGTTTTAGTAAAAACATTACCCTTTACTACACAATCTGTAACCCGTATTCCATATAAATCCTGCTCGTCTATGGCCACAACCAAGCTCAGAGGATCTCCTATCTTTACGTTTTCTGCCACCAAATGATCGGATGGCTCTCCGGAATAAATCTTCATGCTGCACCCGGGCATGGTAGCCATTGCCGTTACAGGATTCGAAGGTGAATTGGTTGGACTGAAACATCATTAATTTATACAGTGTGTTCAATGAACAGCTTAGATCTACTTACTCCATTTTTAGAGCCTCATTGTAGGCTGAATTATTTCTGGTCGCGTAACGGCATCTGATGTGAAATCCTTTGCCTTGATTTGTGACTAATTTCAGATGGGGCTGAACGACTATTGTATTGAAATATTCAATGCCGCCGTCATCCTGTAACAAAAACGAAAGTTTTATTTACTAAAAAGTAAAAATGAAACCCATTATTATATTTTGACCAGTGGCGGCTGGTCCTAAAAAGAACAAAAAGTAGGTATATAACTGAGTACATGATTATTCTATACGATCGAAAAAAACGGCGCCAGAGATGACTATCATCGATCGTCCTTTCCGCGCCAACTGTTACGTTGCAGTTTAGACGTTCAGACAAAAATAGTAAATAATGTTAATTCTAGCATTAAAACTCGAGGGATAAACTTTATGTACTAAAAGCAGTAGAGCGTTTTTTTTTCTGGAGGCTGTACCCTCGACCAGAATTCACGATTTACGAGTCGCCACTAATTTTAAGAAATTATACAGGGTGTTTCAAAAAGCCATAGTTCATGTGCCATCTATCGTGGGGAGATGCCTCACGTAAAAATAAGATTTATTTTTCATATCAACATACGTCCGATTCTGCTTTATTTCGTAGCTACAGGGGGTTTTAGTCTTATATTTTTTCGATTTATTATAATTTTCTTTCACGTATTTTCGAGGGTAAAAAGTTACTATAAGTGAGGCATATTTTTATGCTAAAAGGGTGTCAACATAATTCACCAGGGACGGGCATATGGGTAATCACTGGAATATTGTTTTAAAAAAAAGCATATACGCCACATTTTTTTTTCTCTTGTGGGCGAAATAATGTAAGCCGTTTAATGGGGCTGATTAAAATTTGTCTCTTGATATTTTGTCGATATCAGGCTCCTTGATGAGATAAACGCAGTTTTATTAATTTGCCTTGATCCTCTACAACCTAACCTAACCTTTAAAAAAAAAATAATATTATTAACTTGCGAAATCGTTAAATTACTACACATTGATTCGGACTCATAAAAAAATATGAAAAAAGTTACTAAACATGGGTATGGAAATGCATAGTTTTAAAGTTACAGAATGTTAAAGATTTTTAAAATTAGTCTTTTGTAATTATCTTAAATACGATTATTTTTTTATTGGAATTTGCTGTAGGTTAATAAAATTAATATTAAATAATAAATTAAACACTAATAATAATAAAATAAATAATTTATTAATTTTATTTTTATTAATTGTAATTAATAAAATTGCGTTTATTTCTAGACTAACTTCTACGAAATAAAACCAAACTAGTAATAATATGTTTTTATTGTATGTATATGTTGTCAAATAAGTCCCAAATAACGGAGTTATTTTACTTTGAAAATTTCCAAAAAAAATGATTTATTGCTAAAATTTTGAGAACCACTAGATCTTTTCTAGATTTTCTTTCTTGTAAATTTAATCTAATACCTATGTTGCCATATTATAAAAAAATTATGTTTTTTATCTAAAAACTAAAAAATATTCTAAAAAATTTTTCAAAAAATTTCGAATTTTCAAAAAAATGTTTTTCGCGAAAAACCTCATAGACGCGTTTCTGGGGTTGAACTATACTATACTACCAGTTAAAATACTTGCATCAATTTCTGGGACACCCTGTATATATTTTATATTTTTAATAGATTTGAATGTTTTCCATATATCTAAAGTTATTATCAATTTATTATTTTTACCGATGCTGTTAAACATTTAAACGATAAACGTTTTATTATTTGCTTTACTAATATCATGATGGAACGAAATTCTTCCTCAATTAAATTATTAGCAAATAATGGTATTTTTAAAGCGATTCAAGGTCTGTGGTTCATGATGCAGTAAAAAATATTATTACATAAAAACAAGTAAGAAAATCTTAATATACGGCTAGGTACGTATAAAAATCCGTAGTCGAACATTAGCCAAATTTTATAGCAGGCCTGATAATCAAATGCAGGAAAATGTGATAAATGTAGTAATTCTACTAACAGGCATCATTGCAACTTCAATAGGCATCTAAAACTGATAGGATTGATGGACAAAACCATGTGCAAATTTTTTCAATCAGAAGAAGAAACGGTAGGACGGTAGGACACATTTAATGTCAGTGCAAAAGCAGGTTCTGCAGCTTTTTATGCAGGCTGCAAAAAAGTTGCAGCCCGACAAATGTGCGGTTCTTTGTATTAAGCTATAATAAGCCATTAATAAGAAGTGAGAGTATAGTATCCAAGTCATCGGACTTTTTGAATAGGACAGGACTGGAGAATGTAACTTAAAGATTAAAAGAGAACCACACACACACACAATACATCTGTAAAGGCCGCAGCAGAACAGGCCAATAGCCCCATCTCAAAAATCTTATCTAATATACTTAGTTCTGGCAAAAGCTCAATAATTTTAAACAGTTGTACAAACATTTGAGATTTTTGTTATTCTCTATAATTTTTAATCCTTGTTTTCTTAAAATTATTTTACATTGAAATCATCAACATGTACTGATTTATAATAAAAAAAATAATAGGAAGTAACAATTCATAAGATACCAATACTAAACATATTGTTACTTTGTGCATAAAAAAATTTCAAAGTGTTTTTGTAGACACTAATGCAATAGTTAAAAAGACTGAAAATGAATGAGCTGATTCTAAAAATAAATCTAACAAACAAAAACATTTTGAATAATAGCTTAGAATATCAGTAATTGCTTTGTTATGTTCTTAGTGAAAAAAATATGTTTTTCTTTTCATACTGATGACTGAAGATGAGCCTTGTTACCTTGAGAGAAGGCTGTTCAATTATACAGCATGACATCATCAAGGATGTAGTAAATTCACTGAAATCCCAGATTTAAAACATACTGTATAATATTTTTTCAACGCTGCTCTGATCATCGTTTAAATACTAATGAAGTGTAATTTTGCAGTTAGTATAATTTGCATTTTCATGATTTTAAACGGTATTCTTTGAAATATAAATACCATATGTTCAAAATATGATATTTGTATCAAAATACGGTGTTATTTTTAGACTTGGAGGTGAACAATATAAACGACATTACTACTAAATATCGTAAAAAATATATTTAAAATTATTTGCTATTGCTATTTAATTCCTTTTCATGATAGCTAATTCAAAGTGAAGAACATAATTAAAAACATCTAAGCATGAATTATAATGGAGATAAATAAAAAGGAACTAAAACATTTTATATATGCAAAAATATTTAAAAATAAGCGATCAGCGACCAGATTGTTTGTCATACAAAAATGATTCATTTTCCTATGGCTATTAGGTTCTTAAAAACATTTCATAATATTTTTTGTTTCATTTTATCTCGCAGGAAGGAACAGCGTCTAAATCTAGTATCATTGTACCCAATTGTAGAACTTGAAACGCCCCTTCACTTTTAAAATGGATATTATATTTAATTTGTCCACTGAAGCTGTAATATTTCAACAGTCAGAAATAGATGTCAAGTATTTTAGCAATACTGTAACCGATCCAGTCGTTATTTGTAGAATTTCGTTATTTGCCATTTATTAAAGCAAAATATAGTATAATTTGTTTGACAAACTGGTAAACCTTGCATTTAAAATTCAGTATTCGTAAATATGAGGTGAAAACATCATCAAAAATTTTATGATTGAATTCCACTCCTCTAACTCCCAGTGGATGATGATGATATACCAAGAATTTACAACTTTGAGAAACACCTCACTGTAGTGTTGAGCAATAAAAAGGATTGGAAGAGAGAAACGTTTGCTCAGCATGACTATACCATAACGTGGTATGCTGATGCTTTCAAAACCAAAGCAGGGACAGGGATAGGAGTATTTAGGTCGAAAACTAAATACTCCGAACCAATGGGCACCACCTTACCACAGACCACAGCAAGGGTAGAAATCTGCGCTATAGAGAGATGCGTACAATTTATCTTAGATAGAAACTATCGAAAACAGGAAATAGCCATATTATCCGATAGTCAAGCAGCACTAAAAGCGATCAACTCAGTAACAATCATTTCGAAGTCAAAAAATTCCTAGAAAAGCTGAACAAATTAGGCAAAGAAAATAAAGTCCTCCTCTCTGGGTGCCCGCTTCCCAAGGGATAGAAGGCAATGAAAAAACAAACGATATAGCTAGAAAAGGAGCGAACACTCTATTAACTGGACCAGAACCGTTCTGCTTTCCAAGCAGAAACCAACTTAAACGAGAACTGAAGAACCTGGAAGACTCCATTCGTAACCTGGAATGGAAATCCTCCAACGGTCTAAGACCCTGTCTAAGAACTTGAAAAAGTTCCTCAGAACTTACGACCGAGAACAATCAAAGATTTTCCTTGATTTAAGTAAAACATTCTTCGGATTGTCACGGGGTTTCTAACAGGACACTGTCTTCAACGAACACCTCAGTAGACTGAAGCTGAGAGACAACGGCAAATGTAGATTCTGTGGGAAAAATTGGAAAATACTAGAACACGTGAGACAACAACTCAACTGTTCGAAAATGAAAACGAAATTATATTACCACAGAAACGCGTTCAGATTTTTTAGGACTTTAGAAAAAAATAAATTATATTTTCTTGTCTTTTTTTAATTTTCTCTCAAACAGTATGGAAATATGGAAAAGTATAAACGGGATTAATCATTAAAGAACAAACAAAAAAAGTTTATGGAGAATGCATTTTTCTCAAACTGTCAATATTAAAAAAGTTTTTCCTCATCTAAGGACAATCCGGGGACATACTGTAAATTTTTATTAATTACAAATGTATAGTTTTCAGATTTTCCCTATACTTGCAATATAAGATGGTACTACTTGCCAAATTGCATAGTTCTAGGTCAACAGAAAATACAGAAAATACGCTATAAATTTTGATTCCCTTAAAAGTGTCGAAATATAACGTTTTTTTACGTTATCTTAGAAGTTTGATTTTTTCACAGCTTCAAGAGACTGTAGACCTAACAGTTAGTACTACTCTAGTACTACCACTACTGCCATTACTCGCTGACGAGTATTTGACACGCATCAGAAGATGGTTACGCAAGGCGTTTTCTTTCATGATCTTTTCTGTGACTGAAAGACGATACGTGATGTTATCTCTCTTCCGCACTCCGGACATTCATTCCTTTGTTGCCTCTTTACTTTTTGGTTGTCGCTGTTAACTGAGTTTACAATCCTTCTCCATTGCGTTCTGTCGATTGTGCGCTGCTTGCTTCCCATATTGCTGAGGCTTATCTTTAAGTTTCCGTGGAAAACGTCCTTGTACCTTTTGGATTGTCACGTCGGTTTCCCTCTTAGTTACAACTCGCGAACGAAGAGACTTTTGGTAGGGGTTTTCTTTGCATCTCATGAGGGTGCCATCGAAACGTTCAGCAAGGCTAAGGCAGGTATTTATTTTTAAAAATCAAAAACATTTTTTTATATTTTGTTTGTGAGGGGGACAACTTTTGTCCCATAAATGATCGCAAAATATTCAACCCTCTTTCGATTCTCTATGTTTCCCCGCCTCGTTTTTGAAATCGGTCTAGTCATTGAGAAAAATATGAAGGATTGATTTGGAAAGTTTATTAAACATTTATAGAGTAAATTATAAGGATAATTCTTCGAACAATTTGAGGTTTTTCTTATTATTTTTTAGGTGTTTAAGCATTTTTTCATTTGTCACAAGGTTGAACGATAAGGTGCGGTAGTTGCTAGATAGTGTTCTGTGACTTATGCGCTGAAGTTCTTCTCAATATCGTTACTGATCGGTTCCGCAAGTTCAATTTCTGAGGGTTTTTTTGTGTGCACCTCGTGAAATACCCTGGGGTTGTCCTCATTCCAGTACCGACAGTTGTGGCGATTAACTACACCGTTCAAAAAGAAAGTACGAGTACACTCATCCGAAAAACTCACATTAAATAGGAAATTTTTATTCGACTCGTTCATTAGTTTCACCAAAATTGCAAGCGACGATTAACATCGTCTTCGTTGAGTTCTTGTACCAACTGAAATTTGTACGGGTGGAACTTGCGTTTTTTTTAATAGCTTTGTTCGAGTTCTTGTTATCACCGATTCTGAACCGCCCTAGAACTCTGCAGCGATGCGCAAATGCTATGTTCTATTTCTTTGGCATTACATACAGTTCTATGACGGTAACTCGGTTAGAGACCGAGTAGCTAATCCCCCTTTTTGGAAAAATTTTTGTACGATTTTCAGCGGTTCTCATTGGCTTTTTCTTGTACTGCAGTCTATTATGGCACTTGGCCAATAGACATACTCCATAGTTCATATATCTACAGGATTTTCCTCTGCCTCTTTTTATTCATAACGGAACAACATTCGCCAAACTTTGCTACTAACAAGCGAACAATTTTGCCATAAGGTGTTTGTCAGAATGGCATTCATTGAAGTTTTGGCGCAACTCCACTGGCCACACTATTTTTTAACATAGTTCGATTTTCTTTTTCTGCAAGTGAGTTACGTAACTGTTAAAGTTTACGATGGTTGAGAAGACTTCAACACAAGTCACAGAACAGCTTTCTAGCAACTACTGCACTTGTTCGTTCAACCTTGTGGAAGTGAAAAAATGCGTAAACATTAGATAATAATAAGAAACAGCAATTGGATCGCAGGAATTTACTTTAATTTTCTGGATAATTTTAAATATTTACAATTTTTTTTTTTTTTTTTTAAATAACTGAAATAATAAAGGTGTTTGTCAGTGTAGAAAGCCCTTTTCACTGTGGTAACACTTGACCTCCCTTCCCTTTTGAAAAAGTTGGGGGATTACACCCCCGCTTAGAGGGTGAAGAATTATACATAGTTTTTGGGGCAAAAGTTGTCCCTCACAAACAAAATTGAGCGTGTTTTTTGAATTTTTAAAAAAAAATTACCTGGCGTTATGACTTGCGGACGTTTTTAATGGGCCAGCCTGTATTGTGACAGCCATCTTAGCGTCTTGTAATCAGAATAACGCTCTGCACAACTTTTTAAGGACGATAGTTGAGAATG